GAATCATTTCAGGTTCCCAGATAAACGAAGCTCTTTCATCTTCCTGATGTGGCTTCCTGTCAGCTGAACCCACCACTGGCTGGCCCAGCCCCTCACCCTCCCCTCCCAGTCACTCCTTCCCTGAGTAGGTAAGGGCGGCCATGGCAGATGGAGACTCGCTCCATATTCCAGAACGGGAGAAAAGCGCCCTGTACTTGCCTCTTCTTCTGGCCCTTGTTGGTGCTGCACGCACCTCAGTCACTCAGGGAGACACGTGACTTTCTCTCCACCCCGAAACACTGGCCTGGCCTGGCTGCAGCCATTGCTCCACATCGTAATGGACTCCAGGAGGAGGAGGGGATGCTGTCTCCTCCCATTGTGAAGCGCACTAAATTTAAGTGTATTGCGCAACGTGATGCAAGAGCAACAGGCAGGCCATGGAGGCGGCGAGACCAGCAGCGTCAGTTGCAGCCGGGATGGGCCAATGTCTCGGGGCGGAGAGCAAGTTGCATGTCTCCCTGAGTGACCAAGGTGTGCGCAGCACCAACAAGGGTCAGAAGAAGAAGCAAGTACAGGGCCACTTCTCTCCCACTCTGGAATATGGAGCTAGTCTCCATCCACCGCCATCGCCCTTACCTTCTCAGGTGAGGAGTGACTGGGAGGGGCGGGACCAGCCAGTGGGGGTTCAGCTGACAGGGAGCCACAGCAGGGGGATGAAAGAGCCACATGCAGCTCTGGAACCGCAGGTTGCCAACTCTGTTTTGTATCTTCACTGTTAGCTTCATGCCTGTGAAATGTGCAGATGCTGCAAGCAATGACATCTTAAATGTATTTAAATTCAAACCTTTATTGTCAGTGCACAACATATGTACAATGAGATTGGTTGAGCTTCCTCAGTGCACCCTCCCCAACACAAAACAACTTGCAGTGAAGACAGAAAATTCCTAACGCAATAAATCATATTAAAAAACACCCAGTCTTATTGCACCAATGTGAACATGTTACATGTTGCTCCAGCCCTGCAAGTCCATCGTACTACATAGTTACGACGTTATTTCGCATTCAGGAATCTTACAGACCATGGATAAAAACTGTTCTTCAGCCTGTTTGTGCAGCTGGCTATGTTTCTATATCTCCCTCCCGATGGTAGGAGGGTAAAGAAGTCTAACCAGGATGTGAGTCGTCCCTGAGGATTTTCCTCATTCTTCTAAGGCAGTAAGACCTAGCGATCTCATCTAGTGGTATCAGGGGACAGCTCACGATGTTTTGTGCTGTGCTCACCACCCTTTGTAATGTTTTTCTATCCGCGGCTGTCAAACTGGCATGCCATACCATGATGCAGTAAGTGAGGATGTTTTCTATTGTGGACCAGTAAAAGGAGGTCATCAGTTGTTGTTCCACTTTACTTTTTCGCAAGACCCTAAGGAAATTCAGTTTTTGTTGGGCCTTCCTGGCCACCTGAATCATGTTGTTTTTCCAGGTGAGGTCTTCGCTGAGATGGACTCCCAGGAAATTAAAGGAGGAGTAAAGTGGGGCAGGTTCCTCTTCCTCCGGAAGTCCAACACCATCTCCTTGTTCTTGCTGATGTTCAGGTGCAGGTTATTTTTTTAAGGACCTTGTGGATAGTTGTTGAACCTCCCCCATACGCTGTTTGTCTCCACTTATTTATCTATTTATCATAGAATTTTATTTATCATAGAATTCTATTTATCATAGAATTTTACTATGAACCAAAATTAAAATTCTGAAAAACAAAATCATGAAAAAAACCTCTAACCTCTGCCTTCACTGGAGAAGAGTGATGTTAGTTTTGTTAAACTTTTTAGCTTGTAGAAAAACCAGGAAGATTTTTTGCTAAAACTGGATGCAGGCTCTATCTAATTTCTTTTCTATTGGCATCCAATCTGTTCAATGCCTCCAAGACATGCTTATTATACCCATTTTCTAGAACAGGTTATAGAGCAGAAATGAGCAATCTTTTAAGAGAGAAGGACTGTAGATAACTTTCATCTTTTTTGAGGGGGGGATGGGAGGCTGAGCAAGGGAGTCAATAATGAAGAGTGCACATGCACGGACTTTGTGTGTTTCTTTCTTGTATTTCAAAAATCAGATTGAGTTTCTTTGTCACTGCTATACTAAATCTGTTTTAGAGCTTAAGCTATTATTCCTGTAGCATCTTCCACCTCAAAATGATAAGAAATTATACTATACTATTAATTTTCAGCAAGTGGACCAAAAATACCCCAGTATGATACAAAAAGGTTGTGAACCACCCTGACTTATCCCTACTCAGCCAACTATAAACATTTTCTATGTAAGTAAGATCAAAGTAGTTTGATTTTACTTACACAGAAATATATCCTTGTAGTTTTTCTATGACTGGGTCATCCTGATGGTGTAAATACAATGAACTAGACCCATCAACATAATATATTTTGTTAGTTATCGCCACAATAGAATACCCTTCTCCTGCTGCACTTCATTCAAATGCTAGACTGTTCATCATCATGAACACTGACCATTTGAGTAATATTTCACATTTTATTCTTCATGAATACATAGATTTAAAAAATATTACGTAGTATCACTGAAACTAAAAAAGATGAAATTGTCTTTCTGGGTCTCCATTTTTTTTCTACTATATACTTCCTAAAGATAAATGACATGTGAATAATTTAACGTAGTATTTAGAATCCAATGATAAAATGACTTATTTATTTAGTATATTTATAAGGCCATACACTCATCAAACAACTCTGATCTTAAAAGAGTTAATATTTTCCTTATCAAACAAATTATTTTGTTTTAACCAAGAGCAAATGGGTCTCTGAGAGATTGTCAAAGTGGCTAATAACTCATTAATCTAGTTTCTCTTGTCTCCTATACTTAGTATTCGCTAACCATATTAAGCATTTGGCTATCTTTAACTTCATTTTGGACTCAGCAAGCGTGCAGTCCAGACAAGGCACTCATGAGACTAATTCTTGGCAAAAAGTCTCATTGACACACCCATTCTTGAATTTTCTCCACCCTAGCTTCTTGCAAATCAAACTCTCTACATTTGAAAATGTGTAGATTATATACTTTGCATACAATACAGATTTATTTATTTAGCCTATGCTTAATTCTACAATATAGAATTAACAATTTACTGTTTGGTCCTCCTAATAGGTATAGCTAGATCCTATTGAATATATAGGATCTACATATCCTCTATATGTCTAAATGTAAATATGACCAAATTCTATAAAGCTTTTTCTCAAGGAGTAGATGTTTCCAGTGAGCTTTGGCAACATAATAACATAATTGAGAATAAATACAATGAATTTAATGGAATTCATATTTGCGTAGACATATATAAGATTGCACCATTTCATAAACTCTACTGAATGGATGGGCAGAGCTGTGGAATCTCCTTTGTGTCTGTTCCCCAGCCACATTTCAGCATTAGCTTGTTAGAGGCAAGTGCACAATTGTAAGATTTTTTTAAAAAATGAGGGGGGTAGGCACATAGATAGAATTAAAAGAGCAGGGCACATTAGAATGCACCTCCATCTAAGTACTTGTCTCCATAGTAAAACTAAACTCAGAAACATTCACACAAAACATACATTCTTGGTTTCCCTTCATGTTTCCTTTATTTTAGTATCCAAATTTTTGCAAAGTGTGGTTGCAGTTGTTGATTTTATGAACAACAGCAAATCAGAAATTCTTGATAATAGTATGTTAAATCACTAGGAACTGTACTAGGCAATGTTGATTTATGTTCTTCATCAATTATGTATTGAAAATGCTTTTTATTAATTTTTACCTACTTGTTGTAAACTTCTATGGTTTATGACAAATCAAGAGAGAGTGATCCCTGGTCATCCACATTCCTTCCATTTCCTTGAAATGGAAGCTAGCTCTGATACTATACCCCTCTGATTCTCTTTTCTACCAGAAAATAAAAATGGAATGTATGTATGTATGTATGTACGGCCCAATCTACTTATTAAATGAAATTATCTCTGTACATTTTGTAAAACTTTGGCGTTTGCCAGACAACAAAACTACCACCCGCTTTGGTTTTCTTTTACTTAATTCTTACATTATCTATAGTTTAAACCTATTAGAAGGTCATTACAATATTCGGTTTAAAATCTAAGTATACCACACCGATTTTCCAAACCAGGTTATTACCGACCTCCTTCCCCGTCGCACAGACGGCAAAAAAGCCACCAGCACAACTGTGCAGATTCATAGTCGCCAAAGTAGCCTTTATCCCCCGGGTCGGGAAAACCACCGGAATGCATCGATGCCTTCTAATTCAAGAGATGGCGAACTGACTCATCTGTCTACAGTCGCGCGGCGGTGGGTGGTGGCAGCTGCAGACCACGGGAATCCCTGTCCGGCGGCGACACCCGGCGTTTGTGAGTCTGGCCGTCAGAGATCATCCAGGGGAGGGGCCTGGCTGTCATATTCCAGACCCTACCATTCCATCCTTGCTTATGGGGGAAGGGAGAGGTGGCGTGCTGGGCGATCAGGTGACAGCATTGCGGCCTACACTGCAGAACCGGGTGGTTCCCAGCGGGGAGGGGCACGAGGGAGAAGAGCTCGAAGGAAGAACCCTCATCCCCGGAGCGCCCTGAATCTGGACCACTACCACCACCCCCGCCTTATTAGCATTCGAGAACAGAGCGGGCGTCGGCGGCTTGCTACACGTGACTAAGCGGCTGTCCGCTTGGCTGAGTCTTCGTTTTTGCTGTGCGATCAACGGACCTTCCACTCCTTTTCCCCTGTATTCTTGTGCCCAAGAGAATACCCTGGGATCCGGATGCTATTTCTATAGGCTGGGGGTGGAGATTATCACCACGGTGTGCTCATGCATGGACTTCCCCGATGCGGCATACAGACAAATGGAGAGAGAGGCCCAGAGATCCGGAGAGGAACGCATAAGGGCGTGTTGTGGAAGCATGCCACATGCGTGTTAGTCTTCTCTCCCTTTCAGTCGAACAACTTTCAGGAGAACAAAAACTCACCTTTTCGCTGCCAAAGGAGCACTGCACGCACCTCATCCCCTGAATATGTAGTTCGCCAAATATTTGAAAACTAAATTAGGCGGGGAAAGAAAGCAAACAGAAGCCTGTATTCTGTTCCGTGAGCGGTTGGGAAATGGGGCATGGTCGTGATGCTTCTGTCTTCCGAATTTATTGGGTGCTAGCCCGGGGTCTTACGCACTTACGTGTCCTTTAAAAGCAACCCTAATTGATCTAGCTTTCTCCAGAGTAGGGACGCATGAACTGAAGCTAAACGTCTCTTTCGTAGACAAGTAGTCTGCAGCAGCATTTCCAAAGCGTGCAACACTGCCCTCCTCGGACGAACTGGAGAACGTATTAACTATAATATATCCATATGCGTGCCATGTGCATTTTATGCACTGCTTGGTCTGCAGTTTGCTGGAAGAAAAGCAATCTGCCTTCCATCCATCAGTTTTCTGGCATTGGCTTGAATTCATAACTAGGCTTAAAAATAATTCCGATTTCCCCTTAGGAGATTTCTTATTTTCCTAGAGAGGACAGGAGTGGACTTTCCCCTCAAACCTTTGCCCACAAATCAACGTCACAATAAGGCGTGTTATTCTCCCAAAGAAAGTGACAATGTGAAGAGCAATCCATAACTAATAAATATAGAAACTATGCGGATCTATTGGAATATCGCACTTTAAAGCTGGTCATTGAAGACTTGCAAACCTAAAACTCAACCCCAAGTACCTATTCAAATTGAAAGTGGGACGTTAGTTCTTACTAACTAATTACTTACTAATCACTATACTTAAGGGATTCCTGTAGTGGTTAATTTTTAATATACCAAATTTAATCCTGGGTGGAGTGTGGAAATTTCAGGGTTCATGCTTCAAATTAAATCAGAAACTACTTGGAAGTTCCTTTCCTACTTTGAATGGTTAAGTGGAGGAGGGAAGAAGTTACAGACTTTTGCCCCAAGTAAGGTTTAAATCGAGTAATCGTGAAGTGAAAGTATAATTGCACTGAAAAACTAGATTTGGAGGGTATCCCATCCTGTAAAAATTATCCTGGCAAAGAGGTCACAGTAATAAAAAAAAACAAAAAACCCAAACCTGGATATATAATACATACCCAATAATTCCAGCATATTCAGATACTAGGCGCTGGCTGTACATCGATTGAATTTCCACAATACGCTACATTAAAATGTGATCTGCTGGTTTGCAGTCAGTGTCTTCGTGCTCATCCAATCTGCGTAAGGTTAGTATATGAGGCAGTGTGTTTTGCGAACGCAGGCAGCTGGTTAATTCGTGTCACCACGATTCAGTTAACCATGTGGTGTAAACATAGCCGCTGACTGCCTACGGAGCTTGCCTTCAGGCCTGTAATTTATCATTTTCCCAGTGCATAATTTGGAAACTTAAGTAGAAAAAAATTGTAGAGCGTTTGTGGTGACCGACCCTAAATCTCACATGCACATCCAGGGAGATTATATATAGTATTGAAGTTAGGCCGCGTGATCTTGCTCAACATAAGGAATCCGAGGCGGTTTTGGATTATAAAAATTCCTGGGCGAAGAATTATATTGGAACTAAGATGCCACAGAGGCCTCATCAGCTAACAGAGCTGCGAAACCGTCCAGCGAACCAATGGGCGACGAAGATCGCCGGAATCAAGAAAATCGCACTCTTTTCTTAGTATCTTACCTAGGGCTATAACGAACCAGGAAATAGAAACAGAGGGCTGAGATTTGTCAGGATTCTATGGGCGGCGATCCTGAGTCCCACTGGTTAGCCATTCTTCTGCCATTGCTCTTTTTTTCCTTGAGCAGCTATGTCGTTTGTAATCATCAAATCAGAAACTGCTACGCCGGGTTTATTTATAGCTGGTGATGTCTCCGTGTTGCGGGTGACCTCTAAAAGCGAGTACAATGCGACAGGACGGACCTGAGAGGAATCAGGAGTTCTTCTCAAGTGGGGAAGGGAAAGCAAGAGTGCGCGGGTCTGTTACCCTTGCCCTGTTGGGATTCGGACTCGAGGACGATTCAGGGAGAAATATTAACATGAAAAGCAACTGACACGAGAAGGAACTCGTCGAAGTCGCGAACTGGAAGGGAGAAAGAGAGATTTGACTATTAATCACCCATAAAAGTAGGGGGTTCCTGTATGAAGAAAATCGGAGCGGAATGAAATGACATTTAAACTAGAGTTTCGCTCGCTCGCTCGCTGTCTACCTCCCTATTCTCGGTTTCGGGAGATTTTGTGTAAGTCTCAGAAATGGAAAAAAACTATCCGGAAATATGTCTCCCATCGACGTCTCCCCGAATTTAATAGGTATTATAGCAGAATTCGCCTCTCCTACTGAAGATATTTCTACATGTATATTACACAAAGAGATGATTTTAATATCACAAAGGATTGTGATAAAGGTTGCTAAATGTATAAATCCGTTTTAAGAACAATTAGACTTATTGGGTGCCAGTACCTGATTTTGAAGAATCAATATTTAACACCGCTTTTTAAAAAAATAAAATCCTAAACGCATAGCCAGGAATTATGACTTTTTCCAGGCAACAGATATTTTCCCTTTTTTTTAGAAAATGTTGGTATATTTTCTTATGACTGTTAAAAGATCAAACAGTACAAAGAAAAATTATTGAGCACAATATTCGAAGTCCGCTTGAATTCACCTCCTGCATCGAAGCAGCATATTTTATTTCATTTGGGCGATTTCAAAAGAACTTCCTATTGCGACAATCCCAAAAACCAGATATTTAGATCACTACATGTAAATGAAAAACTGAGGATTTAATATGATTATTTTTAACCATTTGAGACCTTGATACTCTAAAAAAGAGGAGAAAGGGAGGATAGAAGAGTCGAGATTTCATTAAAAAAATTTAAAATGCTGAAATATCTCATGGAAGTAGACTTTACATTTAAACGAATTTCTGTGGAATTGATTGGACGTGCTTTCACTTCGAATGAAATCAGGAATCGAAGACGAGTTAGTATTGTTGATGATTGAGAAAATCCGAGAAAATTAAATTGTCTCACCATTCAGTTGACCAGCCTTTGCAGCATAGTAAAACCTCGTCATTTTTTACTAGAATTTATGTGAAAAGTAGCGATTTTCGAAACTATGGACTATCATTTTTTGTTTGTGCATGACAAACTGCGAAAATCAACTTGATGGATAATATATTGAAGAGGAAGTTTGGTATGGTTTACTTTAAATATCGGGATCTAGCAGTCTCTAAAAGCTTTAAATAGCAGAGACTCGCGATCAAAACAGACTGTTAGGTGTCGCTGTGATTAAGGCGCTGAAGAGTCTGGAGTTTAAACCCCAGTCCTGGAAACTTTTATGAGTGAGTTTGGACCAATCAGTCCCTCTCAGCCCAACCTACCTTAGAGGGTTGTGGTGGTGAGGAAAAATCCCTCTATTTATAAAACAAAAAGCCCTAGATTGCAAATCAAAACCTAGAATTTAATTTTGCCCCTTCTGGAAATTTTGTCCCACCTCTTACTTGAATAACAACAAGAGATTGGGTTTGACCATGCACCTTGTAAAATTACACTACCCATATGCAATTGCCCAGAGAGAGACTTTCCTTAAATCTTACAAAATGAGGAAAAAAAACCAGAAACAACCATTCAAAAGCTTCGGTTTTTAAAAATATGACCCACAAAATGTTGAGTGAACCATAGACTTGCACGTGCTCCTTGGTAGGAACCTGGTTCCATTTAGCTTGGCATTTAAAGCCTAAGACCGAAGGAAACATTAGATGTGTCGTGTATATATACCATTTTAAGAAAACTTCAACAGTTTTCATGAGCTTGCAAAATGAAGAGAAAAAAAACAATAATGGAATGCAGACGTTAAAATAAGATTATGTTCAAATGCTGACTTCGTCACACAGTGGCTATGCAGATTACCCTATTGTTTTTCGTGAAACAATTCATTTCGGAATGCTGTAAGGGAGAAATATTTATAAGACCAACCATACAGACCTTAAAAGCAGCAGTCAGCCATTGTATCAAACTGACAGTTCCAAAAGAGAAAAAACGAAGGAGTACGAAAGTACAATATGCAACAAGAGCTGTTCGAATAGTTTTGAAGTTTGGTTTTCTTTTTAAATTTTAATTTATAACCTCAGCACCCCTACTAAAATTGCTCTGATTATTAAACTAGTACTAAAACGTTAATTCGAAGTTTCCCGCAGAAGTTTTCTTACTTCATCCATGCCAAAGTATTATATTTAAATGCTTTTTTCCCATCCTCACTTGGCATCGGCAATCCTCTTCTTTTCCTTGGGGAAATGTATACAAGACCATAGCCGGTTTGCTTTAAAACTATATAGGAGGGGTCATTGTTCTCTAATCGCCGCCCTCCTGGAGAACCGTCGAGAAAATTCCGCCGCGCTGATCTTGGGATGGATAAAAGCTTGTAACGCCAATCGGATTTACAAAAGGAAGCGCTAATAAAAAACAACCCATCGGCGGCAGAGGTGAAGGAGAAAAAGACGCCACCTCGACTAGTGCCGTTTATTACAAGTTGGCTGCTTTCCTGTCAAGCCTTTGTAGCTTCATCAGATAGCAGGAGATTGGGAAAGGCGGTTTCTCCGGGCCGCAACGAATGGGGGAGGCCAGAGCAGAAACTTTGGGAAACGCAGTCGGATCACAGTGGAGTTAGGTGGAAGAAGACTAGGCAAGCCAATAATAATAATAATAATAATAATAATAATAATAATAATAATAATAATAATAATAATAATAATAATAATAATAATAATAATAATAATAATAATAATGCTGGAAGATACAAAGGGCAATTATTCAAAGGACCTCTGAGCTAACAGTCTACATTTTATTTAGCCAGTATATGTCTGTCTGCAGTAAACATGTATTATAGTGATTCTTTGGTTCTAAAATTCAGAGAAAAATAACAAGATGACTGGGCCAACCAAGTCTTGTTAAGATGGCAACCCCCATTGGTTCCCATTAGATTCCAGCCAGATTTACAGATTGAGTCATTAGTGATATTGCTAGTTACTGTCTACCATTAGAAAATAATAGGTTATCTTAGCTGGAACAGGGAAGAGCAATAGGCTAGATCAGGGAACACACTTCAAACAAAACTCCCTGTAATGCACCATTCATCAACCCAGTCTAACAGTAAGGTTGCCGTGTGTGTGTGTGTGTGTGTGTGTGTGTGTGTGTGTGTGTGTGTGTGTGAGAGAGAGAGAGAGAGACAGACAGACAGACAGACAGACAGAGAGAGAGAGAGA